TATAAGATAAAGTTTAGCTTGTCCATTGCCCAACGCAAATGATTCATCTCGTTGATTCTTCAAGTGAACGGCGTTAAAAGACGTCGGCATAATTGTATATCGTGTATTTATTTTATTTTCCTTAAGTTTCCTAATTATTAGAAGACGTGACACCCACGCATCGATATGCTGTTTTACAAAAAAAAGATATATATTAGTAACTTACATAAATTTACAAAAAAACTAATCAAATGAAAATATAAGAAAAATATAAGACTTACCCCTCCATCGAAATAGCCATTGTCTTCGACCCCTAATAATACTCCCCACCAAGACCGATCAAGCAACAAATAGATATCATCATTGAGCTTGCATATGTCAGTGAAACACCCCCTGGCTTCGCTCATGTAGATAAAAATCAACTGCGGTCTTAGCCCAAAGGGTGTTATCCAGAATTGTGTCCGGTAGTTGTTTCCTCTCCTCTTCAGATACCGGTATGGTACTGGCCGGTAACTCATACGAGAGCCAACTTGAATCCATCATGTCCGGCACGTCAGAGGGTTTCTCAAGAATCCTACATATGACGCCATGTGAATCGGGCTCTTGAATGGTGGGAGGGACCTCTTCAACGATGACAGTGGCCTCTTGAACGGTGGGAGGGGACTCTCGAGGAATGATAGGGGCCTCTTCAACGATAGGAGTGGACTCTTGAGGGATGACAGGCGAGTCGGGCTTCTTCTTGCGGTGTCTTCGCACTATTGGGGTATACGGAGACTTAATAGCACGTGCACGCCGTCTGATGTGTGAACTCTGTCGTGCAAGAAAAACCCGACGTAAAGCATCCACCTTATCGGTCCGCTAAATAATTAAATACAAATATCAGTAAATAAACAGACATGATATTTAAACAGTGAAAACAAAGATAAATATATTTCAAACTTTCAACCAAAAGACAAAACAAAGACAAATACTAACTTCACAGTGTTAAAGTAAAAAGTTTAGCAGTTTTGGCAGCAACCGAATAAATTTACTAAGCAATCTAAGTGAAATGGTTAATTTAAGTGAAATTACGAGTAAATTTATCATCAAGTTAAATATGGAAAATCTTAAACTTACCTCATTGCGTAGAGTATGAACCTCATTCTGCAACGATACTACCATCTCACGTAGAGCGGCAACCTCACAACGTAAAGTAGACACCTCCACACGCCATGCACCATCGTTATCAAGTAGAGTACCGATCTCCTCACGCTAGACATTGACCTCATCACGTAACTCCCTTGACTCATCCCGTGGAGGTGGAGAATAGGGAGATAGAAGTCGTGGCATCTTTGCCGGTCGCCTATCATGAGGTGATGGTGGAGAAGAGGCTCGATGATGTGACGGGATAGGTGATGGCTCTCGTTGTAGAGGTGTATAGTCGGGTCGATCAGGTGATGGCTCTAGGTGAGGTGATGGCTCTCGAAGTGGAGGAAGTGAAGGCTGCTCATCATTCGTGCCATCAAGAAAACGCTGACTAGCTTGCCACCAATCAGTGGCAAGCTCAGCCTCCGTGGGTGTCAGTCTCATTAATGGAATGTTGGCCTCCTAAAAATATAAAAACTCAAACAAAGTTAAACGTCTACTATTAATAACTTGTTTATATATGATAGTATTTGTGTTAACTTACATTATTTATTGTCGCATATGGTATTAAGTCTTCCCAATCCAACAGACGTTTCCTCTTCCAGGAAATAGCCCTGGGAATATCATTTGAAGTTTTTATTGCATATGTCTTCATGGCGGGAAAGGCCTCGAATATCCAAATCTACAAACAATATAATAACAAACATTAGTAATTGTTAAATAATTAATTATAATTTTGAAAACATTATATAGAAATTCTTACCTTAAAGGCCCAAACAAAGCCTGATAAAGTGTATTTCGACCCATCGCCCCGCAAACTTTTGCGGTCATCAAAGGCAGACGACAACTTAGTCCAGGTAGCTTTCCATATATACGAACCCCACGGAAACAGATTCCATGCATTTAGGTCCTCTACCAATAATATTAGCTCCTGAGGAATAGGTTGTCTGGCCTCTCTGCCTAAAAAGCCGGCATACAAAAGTAGTAGAAGGCATACTCAGACAACATCGACGTCATTCATCCGAGTAAAACCATCTTTCTTATTAAACAATTTCTTCATGTCGTCGACGTGTAAGTTCGGCTTCTCTATTGACTCATCATGAAAAACCCTGGATAACCATGATGGGCGGGTGATATGACGAGTGTACCGGCCTACATCATCGTGTCCGAATCGTAGACCAGTGATTAAGCAGAACTCCTTCCGCCCAAAACCATATCTCTTCCTCACCACGTTGTATACTGTCGGGTAGATCGCTAGTCATGGTATGAAGCCACAAATGGATCAAACTAGCATCTCCACCCGGATGCTGTACTCTCAGCCATGGCCCGAAGCAGGTTTCTTCAAACAATTTTCTTTGTGCAGGTGAAAGCTTCGAAGCAATTGTAGTGGCTAGGCTAACTTTATTCCTTAATGTCAATGAAGCCGAAAAAAATTTCTACAAAAAAACAATAAACATACCAAGTTAGATATACCAAAAACTACACTGTCAAGATATACCAAAAACAAAACAATAAACATAAATAGTAGTTTATTCTTGAAACTAAAATTTGTAACACTGTTTTTGTCTTTTGGTTGAAATGAAAATCGCAACGAGATAATGAGAATCGCAACACGGAAATGACTATCGCAACGATAGAATCGCAACGAGAGAACCGCAACGCGAAATGACTATCGCGACCAGACAATCGCAACGCGAAATGAAAATCGCAACGCGAAATGAAAATCGCAATTTTTGTTTCGCGTTGCGTTTTTTATTTCGCGTTGCGATTCTCTCGTTGCGATAGTTATTTCCGCGTTGCGATTTTCATTCTCGAAACTATTCTTCTTCTGCATTACTTCAACCAAAAGACAAAACAAAGACAAATACTAACTTCACAGGCTAAACAGTTTAGCAGTATTGGCAGCAATCGAATGAATTTAATAAGAAATCTAAGTGAAATGGTTAATCTATTATTGAAATTACCAGTAAACTTATCATCAATCTCAATATGAAAAACCTAAAATAATGCAAAAATTAAAAAAAAAAAAAAACTAACCATCGGAGGTTGATTTTCCATTTCTGAATGATTGTGAGGGATTTTTGACTGTGAATGGTTGTGAGGGATTTCGCCGGTGATGGGGACGGAAATCTTCGGAGATGGGGATGGATTTCGCCGTAGAAAGTGAGAGATGGAGATGGGACTGAGTGTTGTGATTTTGGGTTTGAGGTTATGAGTTGCGATTACTGTGGACGGTTCAGTTTCCGATTTATTAAGAAAAAATTCGTGTTTGGAATTTGAAAAAAAAATACGCGTTAATACGAATGGCGCTATGTAAATCGCGTTGCGAAAGTCAGAATCGCGTTGCGAAAGTCAGTATCTCGTTGCGATTTTGTATTATCGCATTACGATAGTCAGTATCGCATTGCGATAGTCAGTATCGCATTGCGATTTTCCCAATTCGCGTTGCGATTTACTTATTCGCATTGCGAATTGGGAAAATCGCAACGACACTGTATACCATCGCAACGCGATTTCCAACTATCGCAACGCGAAATGCAACGCGAATTTGCGATAATGGAGATCGCGTTGCGAATTAGCGATCGCATTGCGATTTTGTTGGTCATTTTGGCAAATCCGGAAAAAGTTGGTTAAAATCGTATATTATATGGGATTTTTGGTTACTAAGGTTATTTTCTCTTTATATTTTTAAAGATTAAATATTAAATTAATAAAAAATAGAAATATGCATTACAAAATTAAGAGAGTGATCAAGATTTTTGTATAAAAATAAGGTAAATTGTAAAAATAATCATTTTCGATTTAATTTTATTAGTTGATTTTAGATAAAAGGGTAACTTTTATATTTGTAATAAACTCAATTTATCATTTTCGTACTTATCGTTTTTTCGTGTCAATTTAATTCTATATCATACCCTAAAACCTTAAATTATAAACCCTAAACTCTAAATCATAACCCATAATCTCTAAATCATAAACCCTAAACCTTAATTTAAGATTTATAATTTAAGGTTTTAAGTTAGGTGTAAAGTATAAAATTGTGCAATTAAATAAATTTGAGGGTTAAATTCATACGAAAATACTATAGGGATAAAAATAATAAATTAAGTCTACTATAAGGGGAAAAGGTGATTATCCTTAATCCTTAATTTTAAAATAATACGATAGGGGTAAAAATAATAGACATTATTTCTTGATAATTTTATAAAGTGACACGTTAATTAAAAAAGGGTAAAGTTCATAAATGGTCCTTTAATTAAAGGATATTACTTTATTGAGTCATCTGACTATTGAAAGTTATAAAATGATCATTTAATTATAAGACTATTTTTAAGTCCCCTGACTATTAAAAATTACAAAATAGCCACTGGTCTATTCATTGCATTCCAAACTCATCCTTTCTGTTAAAAATTGATGGCAATTTGAGTTGAATGTTAACCTATTAACTGAGACATGATATAATATAATCTCAGAATCTCAAACGACTATCATATATCAATCAATAGGTTAACGTCCAACTCAAACTACTATCAATTTTTTAATTAAAAAGGATGAGTTTGGAATACAATAAATATTCGAATGACTATTTTATAACTTTTAATTGTCAGGGGACTTAAAAAACAATGTTTTATAATTGGGAGACCATTTTATAACATTTAATAGTCCGAGGACTCAGTAAAATAACACCCTATAGTCGGGGGACCATTTATGTACTTTACCCATAAAAAAGTTATCACATATTTAAACTTTTTTTTTCCACCCTATTAAAAGAAACTCAGACCCTTGTTGTCGTGACCCGATTTCAGCCATAAAACACTGTTATTTCCTTACAGAAGTATGAGTTAACAATATTCTAACAAGAAACATAAATTCCTATATATATATATATATATATAACTCCATGGTGTCTGAATTCATGGCTGATCATCTTCTTCAGAGAGTCACACTAGGGAAATTGCAGTGTCCACGGCCTGACAGAAAAAGGAACCAAATTAGGTACATTTAAGACCAAATCGCTTGTAATAACCAGACTATCAAAAGATCTTACTTGGGTTACTTCTGGTTTGTCTAGCTAAGCCATTGAAGTAGCAGGTTGCACCTTGTTTCCGAAACTTAGACCAGTACGAGCTGAATGCATAACTCGCGTGCCAGAACACCGATACCGGCTCATAACACGGTTGCCCGGGGCTCAATGCAGCACAAGTTTGGTTGCCTTGTCTGCAAGCATACGCCAATGCCGATGTCAAGTTCGACGCATCGGCACCTGGAGCGACCTCACACCAAAGCTTACCCCTGTATGCTACATTGTTTCTTGCAGCAGGCAGTGGTTTGTAACTGGAGAGTGGCCGCCTGCCGGTGATATCGATATCGTATACCAACATCCCGTTCGAACGCAGCAGCCCCCAATGCCTCTCGGTTGTTGGACCTGGCTTTTGGTTTTCGTCGTATAAGGAGAAAATGAATGTTGGTATGACTGCACCAGGTCTAGCAGGGGTCCCTAATGCTGGCTTAGCAGTCATTTTTTGAATCAGTTTTCGGTTATAAGTGGCTGCATTGTTGATGTTAGCCCCTACTTGATCGGCATCCCCTGCAGTAGGCCAACCTGTTTCGCCAATCGTGAGCCTGATACCGGGATATCCGAGTTTTCTCATCGCGAAAATGACTGAGTCGAGCATTTGGTCTAACAGATTTGTGTAAACTAAGCCAGTTTTATGGTCAGTTTGGTTCACTCTCCCTCTAAAAAGAGCAAAATCTAAGCTGATGTTCCTCGAATTAGTAGACCATGCTAAATAAGGGTAAGCATCGATGAAGAAAAATGATTTGGTTCCATTCAAAAACCCCAGAAACGGTGCCATCACTGTATCCCTGATATCAGACCGGAATTCACCACTCGACGGCGGAAAAGTTGATTGCAATACGTCCATCGCTAGTGGGGTACTGACCTTGATGTTCTTAATATCATGAGCATTCAGAGAGTTCTTAATCCTACGCATCGCAGGCACAAGACTAGGCCAAATTCTCCGGTCATGGCTGAGGACTTCGTTGCCGACCAACACGAACCGGATCATCGTGTCGGGGTAGAAATTCAAGACATTGCTTTGAACCCATTGTTCAGCAGCTGCTTGGCTCGACGCAATGCGGATTATATCATTGTTTGGAATCATAGTGGACACATGAATGTTGGTCCCTGAAAGAAGCTTCAATATTTCATGGTCTGAATCATAGAGCTTCATCCGGCCTACATTCATCGATCTCACGGTCTCGATTGTTCGATATGGCGAAGGCAAATTGACCCCCTTTCGACCATAGTTCACCCCTATCTTGCTCGAGATATCAGCCGCTGTTCCACCATGGGAAAACAACAGGGTTAAACTCAATCAAAGTGTGATAAAAGGACAGCATTTGTGACTTTGAAAAACTTACAGAACACAGCAATGAGAGAGGAGAAGAGGATTGTTGCAAGAAGAGCCGCCATTGTCGACATTACCGAACAGGTTTTGTCTTCTGTAATGCGATGGATATGGCCCCCTAAAGAGTTGTTTGCTTTATAAAGATGAAAATTTGGGTAAATTTAAGTGAGAAGTAGCTGAGATTAGTTCAACGATGTTGGTGAGGTTCTTTAGTTTATTACAATCAAGAAGATCATGAAACAAGATTTTATGTTACTGGTAATGTACATGAAAAGCCTAAAGATTATGAAGTATTATATATGGTAGGTCTTCTTGTCTCCTTCAATGAATATATATATATATATATATATATATATATGGTATAAATGAAACCGATTCGGTTCGATCTGATACATGAAATTTCGAAACAATAAAACGAATTCGAATATATTACACAATTCTCTCTCCCCTATGTGAATGTTCCATTAAACAAAACAAATCAATTGGCTAGCTTTTGAAGAAACAACAAGAACAAAGATAAACATAATATGACAATAAAGTCATTGCTGGCTATCATCTCAGACAGCAGCTCAAAATGGTTCTTTTTTGTGCCCATACCTTTCCGAAATCATGTCCGGTATTGCATTTCCATCACCGGCCATCAGACAAGCTAAATGTAGCCGAGAATCCCGAGGGCTTCGCGGGAATGCTCGACTGGGTTTCGGAGTAAGAAAAATCACCAAACATCGTCGAAGTACCTTCATCTGCTTGCCATTTCTGTAGGAACTGAGGGAGGCTCATGTGAAGGTCAACACCAGAGTTTCCATCATCCTCTTGGGTTGTGGGTTTCCACTGCTCGACGAGAGGACAAAGCACGTTGACAGCATGCCCCATCTCGGGTCTCTGATACGGCTCACGAGCCGTGCAGTGACCGGCCAACTCGGCTACCTTGAAGATCATCGCCATCGTCTCTTCATCGTCGCAGTTGATTGTTTCATCGACTACTTTGAGAATGTTGTCTTTGTTGATTAGAACCCTGCGGAACCATGTCACCAAATGTGATTTCTCGTCAGGTAACGTTACGTCTAGAGCTTGTCGGCCGGTGATTATCTCCATCAACACCACTCCAAATGCAAACACATCCACCTTCGTCGTCACCCTACCAGTTGCTATCGAGATCGAAAGAAAAATTGAGCATATGTTTAGAAAGAGAAAATATAGAGCTAAGCAGATCATATTAAGTCTCAACAAATTTCAAGATAATCAATTTACCAGCATATTCAGGAGCAAGATATCCAAATGTTCCTGCCAGTTTTGTCTCCAAGGAGTGCTTACCCTCGGGTGCATTCTTAACAAGGCCGAAATCCGCAACCTTTGCTCTCATGTCATTGCCGAGAAGTATGTTCGAAGGCTTCAAATCTCGGTGAATGAAACTTTGTTGTGCCAAAGAGTGCAAATACTCAACCCCTCTTGCGACATCCAGAGCAATGGTGACCCTTTGCTTCCAGGTGAGCGGAGAAAAGCCCTTTTCTCGCCATTCAAAGAGATGCTGACTGAGGGTACCTTGAGGCATATACTCGTAAACCAAGAGCCTCTCGTTGCCGTTAACACAGTAACCCAAAAGTGCAACCAAATGCCTGTGCCTAACCTTTGTAAGCACTGCGATTTCGGCTTGAAACTCATTCATTCCTTTAGTACCTTTCGCCGCACACTCCATTCTCTTGACAGCAATCTGCATGCCGTCGGGCATTTCACCTTTATACACAACCCCGAAACCCCCTCGTCCTAATACATTAGCCTCATTGAAATTATCAGTCACCTCTCTCAGGACTTGTATCGAGGTACTAACGTTTCCACCCTCGAAGAAATGACGATCACTATGATCACTGCTACTCTGGCTTTGCATTTCACCAGGCAATCCTCCGTAGCCACTCGTTGCTTTACCGATCACCCCATTCATTACTACGCCCTTCTCGGCATCACTGGCATTGCCATCCATCTTACCGAATTTCTCATACTTCTTGTTCATCACATACTTGTAAGAAACAAAGCAAACAACAGCAACGAAAACCAATACACCAATGACAACACCGACAATCAAAGGTACGGAATTCTTACCATTGGCACCATTTTTCAAGTTACCATCCGAACCTCCTTTCAATCCTCCAGAACCTGGAGTTCCTCTGTCACCAGAATCCGTCGGTTTTCCTAGTAAACTATTCCCCGAGTAAGTAAATGTCACCTTATCCGAAAATTTCGGCATGTCTCCGGTAAGATTGTTATTAGACACATCGAGAAGCTGCAAACTACTCAGCTTGGTAAGACCATAAGGGATGGGACCTGTTAAATTATTATCATTCAGATTCAAGTTCTTCAACATTGTTAGATTCGCAAACGCCGGAGAAATCGTCCCGACCAGATTTTTCTTCGCGAGATTGACGGTAATCACAGCTTTTTTCGAATCACAAGTAACGAAAACCATTTGGCAAGCATCATTGCCATCCCAATCATCAGAAAGGAAAACAGGGTACCCAAAACCACCAGCAATCTCGATCAATGTGGTAACTTGAGGATCACAAGGATTCCCATTATCATTACAGAAATTATTGGTCCCATTAACGGCAACGCTCTCAACTGAGCTAGGAAACTTTGGAAAAGGACCTTGCAATTTGTTATTAGACAATGAAACATTCTTCAAACCGGGAAGATTAATCAAAGATCCCGGGACAGGCCCAGTCAACTGGTTTTCTCTAAGCTGAAGATCGAAAAGACCCACACATTTAGACAAATCTGGGATCTGACCGGTGAACATGTTCTTGTGAACCCAGACCTGAGACAACTGTGTCATGCTGGATAAAACATCTAAAGTACCTGTGAACCCACCGATCTGATTGTTGATCCAGAGATTCTTAATCATCGAGCCGCCGAGAGAAGCCGGCAATGTGCCGCTCAAGTTGTTGTAAGACAGCCTTATACTCTCTAAACTGTTCAAAGATTCGAAAACATCGGGTAAGGCGCCGTACAAATTGGTGTTGTCGAGTTGAACTTGGACGAGGCTCGTCGATTGGGACAAATCTGGGAAAGTCCATGCACTCAGCTTCGTGTTTTCACTTAAACTCAGCGTCTGAAGACTGGTTAAACCGGAGAAAGCGTCGGAGGACACCGATGTGAACGCATTGTCGTCGAGGAAAATCGTTTGCAAGTTCGAGAGATTGGCGAAAGATGGGACGGACCCAGATAAGGAGTTGTGTTGAAGAGACACGGTGCGAAGTTCCGATAAGGTAGCCATCTCTGGAGGAAGTGAACCGGACAGGGATTTGGAAGCTAAGTTAATGGCTGTTACGCGGCTGGATTTGTCGCAATTGATGCCCGGCCAGCTGCAGTAGTTGTCGGAAGAGGTGGAAGACCACCCGGTGGGAGGTGGACGGAAGGCCGAAGCAAGTTTCAGAATAGCACCGCCTTCGTCTGCGGCAGCGAGGACGGCGGAAAGGAGGAGAAAATGTAGGAAGAGGAAGTGGCGGTGGTGGTTGATGTTTTCCATTGCTGGAATGAAACCAAAGAATTAAGCAAACCGTTTCAACATAAAGAGTCATTAGTGGGAGGAGAAGAGAAAACAAAAAAAAGAGTAAATGAAATCAGATGTCACTAAACTATACTCAAATACCATTTTTGCAATTAAATTAATAAATAATTACAAAATAGTCACTATAATATTGTAATAAATTATAAAAGTTCAATAAATTTAATAATTATTTTACAATATTTAGATAAAGTTTAATGATTATTTTGTATTTTTTTTGAAAAACTAATAATTATTTTATTAATTTTTAAATTTTATTGACGAAAATGATTATTTGAGTATAATTAAGTGATAATGTACTTTATTTAAAAATATATATTCAGTAAATATTATATAATATATATTCAATAAATATTATATGAATTTTAATATTAAAAATTATTACATCTATGGACTATTAGATTTTGGTTTTAAATTTATTATATATCAATATATTTGATTCATTTCAACTAATTGTTACAAAAATTTATTTTATTTCTTAACTTTTATCGATTCATAAACATATCGATACTCGATTTTATAAATAAAGGATATAGTAAATTAGAAGTATCTAAACTATGTTTAAATAATCTTTTTCATCATTATTTTTATAAAATTATAAAAATTGTTAAATTTATTGAATTGTTTCAAAATGATCATCACAACATTTTTGTCACCATGAAATTTTATAGTTTTAGTGATCATATTGAAACAGTTTGATAAAATGAATGACCATCTTATAATAATTCAAAAAACTTAATAATTATTTTATAACACTTTGGTAAATATAATGACTATTTTATAAAGTTTAAAAGTTTAGTTATTAAATAAATATTTGAGAATAATTTAGAGACATCCAATATATTTTGTCCTAAAATAAATAAATGGGAATATCACCAAAAGATACAGCTGTTGATTAGCTGATACCATTATAGTGATATTCCCTTTTTGTGGATAACCGTGTTTCTCCTTTTTATTATTATTATTATTTTTTCATATGGTGTAATTAAATAATTTTTATATTTTTAATAATAATTTAATTACAATTTTTAAAAATATATATAAGTTTGTATATTTTAATTTCAGCAAAAGGGTATACGAAGTCCCTATATTTAAAAAAAAATTGATGTGGTCCTTTACTACTTTTTCTTTCAATTTAATCATTCAACTAAAAAAAACTCAATTTGACTCTTCGATTAACATTTTTTTGTCATTGACCAATGGTCCTGTTAATTCCTGCTGAAGCTCAAATTTATTACAAAGGAAATACTGCTTGTGACCGTTCATAGAGACAGAAATAATCAGATTTCAGTTGCATGAGAAGTTGTTGAAGGGAATGAAAAGAATCATGGAGATAGTTTTTGCATAAATTTATAGTTAACTTAAAACATCCTACTGATGAAAGACTTATACTAATATTGGTCAATGACAAAAAAATATTGATAAAAAATCACATTAAATTCTTTTTTATGTTAAAAAATCACATTAAAATAAAAAAAATAGTACGAGGGCTATATTATTATTTTTTAAATGCATATACTTTAATTTTATATTTTATATTTTGTAATTAAACTGCAATCTACATATACAAGAGAATATATTTAATTTTATATTTTGTATATTTTAAAAAATTATATTATTTTATATAAAATTTTGTGTCGATCTATATTTATACATTGATTATATTTTGGGTTTTTTTACATTTAAACTACTATATTTATTCAATTTTAATAATAAAAGATATTATTTTTATTTTTAGAAGCTTCGGGTTCGAAAATCAATGATTATATGATATTTAAACATTTATTATTAAATAATTAAGTTTTTTTAGAAAAATAAATAAATCAGATTGGATTAATAGAAAAATATATTAGACGCGTTCATCGTAATGTTATTGAAAATATTTTTATTTTTTGTTGTTTTTCTGGTTTTCAAGGTTTCGTCTTGACTAATTCAGATCGACCCAGATCTAACACCTTGTTTTGGCGGATAAATCTATCAAGGTGAGTCTCCCAGCGTGGATTTTCTACAATTACTCGAACTTGTGTATATTTAAAATTATAATTGATAAACATGTGTATATTTAAAATATTCTCTTGCTGATGGAATTATGAAGCTTTGACCAATGTTTGTTACATGGCAAGATGGAATTAAATAGTATTGTCACAAGCTAGGAAAACAACGTGCCACTTTGTTGATTTATATCTGACCGGTATGATTATTATAAATAAGTTTATATCGTCGATTGATTTATTTTTTTTAATTTTAATTTAAGTAAAAAATTATAATTGATAAAATGATTATTGTTGGTCAATTAATAAAATTATAATTTCATTTATCTATTTAATTTCATCTCATAATTATAAAAGTAAAGTGTACATATGGTTTCTCGATTATAGTGTATTATTTCATTAACTCATTCAACTATTAAAAGTTATAAAATGGTCTTTCAACTATAGAATGTTACTTTATTGAATCTATCGACTATTAAAAGTTATAAAATTGTTACTCAACTATTCATTATGTTCCAAAGTCATTTTCCGTTAAAAAATTAGCGGTTGTCCAAGTTCGACGTTAGAATGATGACTAAGATATGATAGTTGTTTGATATTCCGGAATAATATTTTATCATATCACAGTCAACATTATAACGTTCAACTCATAATACTGTCAATTTTTAACGAAAAAGGATGGGTTTGGAATATAATGAATAGTCATGTGATCATTTTGTAACTTTTAATAGTCAATTGACTCAACAAAGTAATACTCGATAGTCGAATGACCATTTTATAACTTTTAATAGTCGTATCCTATAGTCGATGGATCATTTATGTACTTTAATATAATTATAGTTGTATAAAATTAATAAATTTTATATTGTAAATCCACCTAGGTTATAATTCATTTACACAATATATAATTTTAAAATTTTAGTATTTATTTTAGATGGTTGGCTTAACTAGATTTAATAGTTAAGATTAAAATGTTTAAAATATTATTCATTTCTTACCGTTATTCTTATCCAAAAAATATATATATTATGCTCTTCCGAGTGAACTATTGGTGTAGACACTTCATACTTGGTACTAAGAGATGATAATTTTACCCGAATTCGATGAGTTTCGATTTGTTCCGATCTGATCAGGTCGATTTAAAAAAAAAGAAATTAGGTTCGGGTTGGGCCAGTTTTTTTAAGGAGTGCAGTCGAGTCGGGTTCAAATGGAAGGTAAAAAAACTCTGAATGCTTAGGAATGTGACCCGAGTGCTACATAAGCCTCTCCCAAGGCACCTTTACTATAGTCTCTCTCAACTCGTCCCAAATTCCACGAGTTGATGTAAAAACAAGACCATGCAACCTCTTTGAATGCTTGCTGCTTTCACCCAAAGTTGCAGCAAATACCTCCAAGTTCAACTGTAACTTTGAGGACAAGATAGATCCCAAAAGGAGTTGTTCTTAACAATATAAGCATGTATCCAGGCCATCGAAATAGGGTCATTATTAAATAACATCTTTCTAATCGAGCTAACCATGCAAGTTTGATTCCAAGTTTTGAGGTCCTTGAAACCGAGGCCTGCCTCTACTTTAAGGTTGCATATTTGAGTCCAACTAACCCTCGCCACCTTAGTCTCCTCCATTGAGAGACAAAAAAGTAGTGGGGAAACATCGTCTTATCAAGTCATTCATCACTTTAGGAGTTTCAAGGGCCTCAAACACAATAAGTAAAATCCTCCAATCGATCGAGTCAAAAGGTTTTTTAACAGATCCAACTTTAAAGCACATCTGGGGGACAGAGAGGAGCGATTGTAACCCTTCACCAACTCCTGGGCCATTAAAATATTATATATAATGTTTCTTTCAGAAATAAAAGCACTTTAACTGCTCAAAATGACCTCAGGTAAGAACCTATGGAGCCTCGCAGCCATAATAAGGGAAATACACTTGTAAACAACGTTACAACAAGAAATGGGTCTAAAATCATGCATATGATTAGGGTTCAATTTCTTGGGAACCAACACGAGAGTGGTTGCATTGAAAGCAGAGAGCAGCTATAAACCCTCAAAGAAATACAACACAACATGAATCAAATCTTCTCCAACATGTCCCAAGCCACCTTGAAAAGGGTAGAGGTATAGCCATCAAGCTCAGGGACCTCGTTAGAGTCTTGGGTACCTTCCGAAAAAGTGACCCAAAAAATCTCTTTTAGTGATCAAATGTCCACCCCAGTAACTGAAATATCACGCATACCAAGCATACTATCAAAGAAAGCAATAGCTTCTGTAGAATTTTGGTCTTGCGATTCTAAAATCTACCCCTGGTCATTCGAGAGAGTAAGAATCGATTGCCTATTTTAATTAACCGTCACCATGGAATGGAATAACCGAGAGTTTCGATCTCCTTCCTGAATCCAATGAGCTCTAGATTTCTATTTCAAAAAGCTCTCAACATCATACAATACATTGTATTCCTGGACAATGATCCGATAAGCCGGACGCAAGGAACTCAACCTGCTTATACGGAAACGTCAACATCCAAGAAATAGAGACCATCACCTTATCTAATTTCCATGCTCAAATATCACTATCATTACCGATTAGTCCAAGACAAGACAAGACCTCTAAAAAACATGACCCAACAAGCCCACTATGGAGCTAAAATCTTCTATGTCCAGAGTCAAAGAGTTACCCATAGCCTCCGAGCTCTCCCCGGGGACGCCAGGATATTTTGAATAAAGTCTTGTTCTAAACTACGTCCAATGGTATCAACACACGTGCACAAATAACATCATCAATGTCGGCTTAAAGAGCCAAGTCGGTTTAAGTTCAACTATAAAAAGGAAATCAATCCCCTTCCAAGCTCTAAACACAATACAATAACGGCGAAACCCACAAAAGCAATGATTTTCTCGGATATGGAACTAGACGTGGCTCGCCAGCTGATTCAGCTCTGCGATAAATACATCGACGACAACGGGTCGAAGCAGACGAAAGAAGAAACCGACGAAATCAGAAGCAATCGAAGATGGAACAATCGGTACCCGTTTGACGAGGAAGAAGACGAAGATCTTCGGCCAAGAAAAAAGAGGTTTAAATCGATTGATTTCATTTACAGGACGACCAAGCCTTTGGTCATCTAGGATCATCGGAATGCGAAGAAGATGGAGATGATTTGTGATTAGATTAGTTGATTTTGTTTGAATACTTAAAATATTCATTTTTTTATTTAAATACATAAAATTTTCTTTAATTAATGTCACATGTAATTTTTTTTTAAAATTTAGATAATAAAATTTAAGTAATTTAGATATCTATTTTGGCATAAAAATCTTTAATTACTTATTTTAACCAAAAGGATAGCTTTAAATATTTTTTTGATAAAAAATATTTAGATGAAAATATTATATACATTAATTACTTATTTGTGATATAAATCTTTCCTTTTTAATACCCGAAATCTCATCTATTTGGATGAAATTAAAATTAGATTAATATTTATATAGTTATATGTAATGATATATTATTATTACATAAATAGTCTCCAACTATAAGGTAGTGTTTTATTAAGTCTTTTGATTACTGAAAGTTATAAAATGATCATTTGACTATAAAATGTTATTTTGTTAAGCCACCCGACTATTAAAAGTTACAAAATGGTTATGCGACTATTTATTATGTTTCAAACTCATCATATTTCCGTTAAAATTTTGGTGGTTGTTTAAGCTGGACATTAACATGGTGGCTGAGATATGATAGTTATTTAAGATTCTAAGGCCATATTTTATCATATCACAATTATCAGTTAACATTCAGCTCAAAATACTATCAAATTTTTTAACCAAAAAAGATGATTTTGGAATATAATGAATAACCGAGTGACCATTTTGTAACTTTTAATAGTCGGTGGATTCAACAAAGCAACACTCTATAGTCAATGGACTATTTTATAACTTTTAATAGTCAGATGACCATTTTGTAACTTTTAATAGTCGATGGGCTCAACAAAGCAACTCTCTATTGTCAAAGGACTATTTTATAACTTTTAAAATAATGTAAAGTGATTATTTATATTATACAAATAAAATTATTAGAATTTAAAATTTTTAGAAAAAATAACACTCTTCTTTATTATTAAGGTTGATTAAGATTTACACTATAAATTGAATACTTAGATGATATATTAAAATATAATCTTAAAATATCATAAATATAATGTTATTGAAAACACATTAAATAATAAAAATATTTAAATATATGAAATAATGTTTAAATATTAAAATAACATGAAATAAAAATATTTAATAATTATTTATTTCAAATAATTAGTTATTTAATTTAAAAAAATTGTACTACAAATATACTAATATAAAGAATATTCAAAAATAGTTTTGTCTAAAATTACAAAAATCGACAAATAATTAAAAAAATAATGAAAATGAATTCATCAAGATTTTAGTAAAAAAATACTACTGATAATAATATTTTTTCTCGATTAATAGGTTGAAAATAAATAAATTATAAATATATTACATAAATGATATTTAATTATAGAATATTATTTTATTAAGTATTTTGATTATTAAAATTTACAACAAAAAAAATCTTTAACTATAAAATATTACTTTGTTAAGTCTTTTATTATTAAAAGTTACAAAATGATCATCCGATTATATATTATGTTTCAAACTAATCTTTTTACACTAAAAAAATAGCAATTGTTTAAACCGTATGTTAATACGATGACTAAGATATAATGGTTATTTGAAATTCTGAGATCATATTTTCTCATATCAAAATTAACAAGTTAACGTTCAACTCAAAATATCATTAATATTTTAATAAAAAATACTATTTTAGAACTAAAAAAATCTAGTGAATATTTTATAATTTTTAATAATTAAAGAATTTAATAAAATAATACTTTATACTCAGAACAACTTCTGAAAATTTTAGAATATATTTGAATGTAGCTCGTAAAATACATATTATTTCCCGCTAAACTCAGACACCATATACATTTATACTAATCGTCTCTCTTTTCCCCGCCAAAACCCATTCATACTCTCTCTCTCTCTCTTACACGCACACAGTTTCTTTGAGAGGGTTTACAATGGCGGGCTCTAAGAGAATCACTAAGAAAAGGAAGCGGTCATCTCGTTCACTTAGCCATTCCTTAAGGGGAATCATAACTCGTAGCAAATCCCAGATCCATGTTCACCGCAATCGGTCAGGTAAATCTCGAACCCACTCCATCGGCGGCGGAAAACACCAAGATCTGCGATCGCTTTCCAAGAAGCCCAGAAAAAGCTCTCCACTTGAAGATTCGGTGGGGTGCGATTTATCTTCCGTTTCCATCAAGGATCTCCGGTTAAGACGGGTCTTTTCCCCTTCTTCCACTGATGGGGTTATTCCTAACTGTTTGGTTGATGCTCATAATCTGGGAAAAAGTGAGCTTGCTGTGAAAATTTTGGGTGATGCTGAGAATCTGGGAAAAAGTGGGCTTGCTGGGAATTGTTTGGATGATGCTGATAATCTGGGAAAAAGTGAGCTTGCTGGGGATTGTTTGGACGATGCTGAGAATCTGGGAAAAGGTGAGCTTTCTGGGAATTGTTTGGATGGAAGGAAAGAAGAATCTGGAAATGGGGATTTTAGAAAGTCAGAGATGTCGAATGAGGAACTTTTTCAGTCAACTCCACCTGATGTTGAGATCGTTGGAGTTGAGCAAGTGGGTGTGAGAAATGAAGGTGAAAAGATCAAGAAAGAAAAGGGCTCTCCTGAAGATAGAAATGAAACGAACTACTCAAAGAAATCGGTAAGATTTTAATGTCGTTTTGTTTCCAATTTCTCTAACAATGATGCTGAATAAGTTAATTTTCATTCAATGGCGATTGTATATGTGGGTTTGTGTAGGTTCTTAGACCATGTTATCGAGTGAAGCTTTTCAAAGCGCCAGTCTCATTCAGCTTAAAAAGATTGCTTCCTTATTTGACGGATATAAAAAAAGAGTGTCCTGGTAATTCCCCTGCTTTGATTTTGTTCCACTTTCAAGCATTGGTTGTACAAGAAACCATGGCATTACAACATTCTTGCATATGATCTTTACAGGCTCCCCGATAATGGTCCATTGTCCGAAAACTGAAAAGGGTTTAGAAGAGAAGCAATTGTTGGGTTCATATGTTGAAGAAGCACTGGGAGATAAATCTATGGCGACTGGCTCCTTCACCTCACTTGTTAATGGAGGGATTAAGAAATTTGAGTTGCAAGTTTCTACTGAAGACCAGAACTCGAATTGCTTGAAAAATTATTCATCTTCGACTATTGAGGATTCTCATTTCAACGGGGAAAATTCAGCTGGTGTGTTGTCTAATGATAAAACGTTGGCAGATGATGGTGAGGTTGCAAAAACTAATGTTGAATCTCCTTGCAATGTTCAAGTTTTGGACTGGAAATTTTCTCCGGTTAACGATTATAATGAAGTTACCAAAAATTACAACGAGGAAATGAAGCAGTCTGAGATTGAAGACAATGATACTGAAGTTGTGGAAAAAGTCGAAGACTTGAATGTACAATGCATGCCAGTGACACCACCAGACTCCGGCATGATTTCTAAAATGGAGACTGATGATAGCAGAGGCATCGGAGTGGATTGCCTTTCTCAAGGAACGAATCTAGATGGTGAAAAGTTGAAGAATGGAGCCTTTCACAGAAACGGTGGTCACTCAAGTCCTAAGAACAAGTTGGTAAGATGCTATCAACCTTTCAGACTATTTTCAATAATGGTAGATCATTTTCACAGTGCATACTTTGCTGATAAGTTCATATGCAGCTATACTAGTTAATGGCGAAACTTAGACATATTTCATGCTAATGTAATTGGTCTTTGTAATGTTGAATAGGTCCCAAACCAGCAGTTGCGTCCGAAGCTATGTAAAATCCCGGGTTCTTTCAGTTATCGAAGGTTGCTTCCGTTTCTGATAGACTTAACTAATGATAACTCCTGCGAGTCCTTTACTTCCTTGACTATCTCCCACTTGCCGAACCCTTGTTGCTTTCGAATGGTTCCATTGTTTATGAATTAGTTTGGAGCCTAAGTATTTGTAATCTGTTACTTGGATGTTTTACTAGGTGCTTCTGGCAGAACTTGCTCTGTAGAGCAGTATACCGGTGATGGTATTTGGGTGCCTGTGACTGAAGCAACTGCTATAGGATGTTCATCTAACGATAAACTGACACGATCTCCACCTAAACAACTTGCTGGTTCCTTGCTGATACCGGATTCACAACAGGAACATGCATCGGTTATTAAACATGCTGCATTGGACGCAAACCAAAAGTTAGAAACTAGCCCCAATCATGTGGTTGACTCTCATCAGTTCTGGACCGTTCCAAAGAGAAGAAGAATCTAAGTCAGTGTCTTGTCGGCTAACCTTTGAAACCGAAGGGGATACCACAAAGTCTAGTGCAAAATTTGCAAATCATGTAAAGCTAATCGAAGCTGATTGCTCAGGAGAAGCATCTCTTCCTATAGGACTTCCTATTGTCAGTCTCGAAAAGGGGATCCTTAAAAGAAATCCTCCTGGATGCAGAGGTATATGTTCTTGTCTGAATTGCACTTCTTTCCGGCTTCACGCGGAGAGAGCATTCGAATTCTCAAGAAACCAGATGCAAGATGCTGAAGAAGTGGCCTTGGATTTGATTAAAGAGTTATCGTTCCTGCGGAATGTCTTGGAGAAATCCGCTTCTGGTTCTAATGATCACCCCAGTATATCCATCAATGAGGTAAATGACATATACCACATACAATCCAATATACTTGCAGAAACTTGTGCCGAATCTCTAATATGCTGTGTTCAGGTTACAGATGCTTGCAAGAAAGCCTCTGAAGCCGAAGAACGTGCCAAAGCTCGTCTCGGCGAAATGAACTACGATCTAAACATTCATTGCAGAATCCCAGTGAGTATAGTTTGTGCTTTTGCTCTCCATACAACACCTCTGAACAGTTTACTCATCTTGTACTTTAAGAATGGCTAGTCTAACAATTCAAAGTTGTTGCTCATGTAGTGTGGGCTGCGACCGAGCGTGAGATTCGCCAATTATGTCGAAGAACAAATCATTCTGATAGCCGATTCATCAAATAAATAGTTTTACATTACTGCAATGGTAGCTGCAGTGCTTTCTTTGTGATTGTTGTTCCGTAATTAGCTAAGTAGCTATGTTACTTGGATTCGGTGTGAGAGTGTGAGTATTTGTATCGAATAGCAGTTGGTCTTGGACTGATATCGATGTATACATTTTTGTCCACATAGTAGGCGTTATTGGATTCAAGTACGTTTAAACTCATAAATTTGATATTTATATTTATACGTAAAGGTTGTAAACGAATCAAATGTTTTGATGAATTGTTTTGTGAATCGTTCGTGAAAAATTCGTTTATTTAATAAATGAATAAATATGATTTTTTTGTTCGTTTAAATAAGTGAATGAATACGAACAAAGGGTTTATTTGTTTATTTACATTTGTTAATGTTCGATAATTCGTTTGTTTATGTACAATAATTCGTTCGTTGACGTTTGTTTATGTTTATTAATTTGTTGATTATGTTTGTTTGTTAATTAAGTTTATATTTGCCTTCATTTACATTCTTTTAAGATTTTTGGATAAATTACTCGTTTAGTACCTAAACTATTAATTTTTATTCATTTTAGTACTTAAACTTTAATTTTTTTCAAAATCATACATAACGTTTAGTTTTCAATTCATTTGAATACCTGACATATAAAAAAATTAATGTGTTTAGTACCTAAAATACCAATTTAGGTCCTTTTTTTTACCTAAACTTTCAATTTTTAAAATTTAACGTTCAATTTTGAACAGGGTACTAAAATGAAACAAAAACTGAAGTTTTTAATGACGAGTACTAAAATAAAACAAAAGCTAAATTTCAGGTATGATTTTAAAAAATTGAAAGTTTAGGTACTAAAACGTACCAAAATTGATAGTTTAGGTATTAATAATTTACCCAATATTTTTTCTTGATTTAAAAGAAAGTTACATTTTATATTCGTTTACGTTCGTTTGTGCTTGTTTACTGTTAAACAAAATGAATATGAATAAGCTAAATTCCATTAGCGATCGAACGTGATAATTATGTTCGTTTAATTGTTCGTATTCGTTCTTTTGTTCGATTAAAATTAAACGAACGAACTTGAACATATCTTTATTCGTGTTCGTCTGGTTCGTTTACATGCCTGTTTATACTCTAATTTGATTAATATGTTATTGTACTTGATAAAATTTGAAATATCAATCTTAATTTATAACCTACAGTATAAGAAATTAAAAGTACAACCTACATGTAGTATAAGGACTAGTAAAAGAATTTGACTAAAGTTTTAAACATGCAAATATTGGATGAAATTGACACACCACGCTCTCTTCACGTGACGCGATTGCTACTTGTAAGATTATTATTATTATAGAGTTATTGTTTTGGACTGTAGCTGCAGTGTGGGTGAAGGACTTGTAATGTATATTTTATAAAGTTGATGAAAGTTGATGCATGCATCGGCATGGCCATGGCCATCCTCTTCACTTCACTTCCCTTGGGACAGGAAACCCTTATCCTTTCACAGGCTCTGACTCTCTACTTCCATAAATTTGCCCATTATTTGTACCACCTTCTTTTGACACTTGTCATGCCATGCCTCTTCTAAGTATAATATCTCGTAATAGTTTGAGTTGTATTTTATAGATCAATTCTTCATTTACATTATATTTTTTAGTTAATGCTTAAAAGATTATATTATCGATTCAATGCTTGAAAGTAACAATGATATTAATAAATTTTATTAAAATATAATTTTATCATATATCGGTATGTGGGTTAAGTCCAACTCGAATAATCTTTAATTTTTAATAGGAAATAATGAGTTTGAAAGATATAAATAGTCGAGTGGTCATTTTATAACTTCTAATAGTTAGTATACTCAACAAAACAATGCTTTATAATTAAGAGATCATTTTATAATTTGTAATAGTCGAGAAATTTAACAAAATACAAACCTATAATCAATGAACTATATAACTTACCCTTTATATTATTTGTTACAACTAAATCAATTAATTATAATAAAGTTAATAAATTTTAGGATAAGATACATAAATGATCCATCGACTATAGAATATTATTTTATTGAGTATTTCGACTATTAAAAGTTATAAATGATCTCTGATTATAAGACGTTTTTTTTAATCTTTTAACTATTAAAAGTTACAAAATGATCACCCGACTGTTTATTGTATTTTTAACTCGTCCCATTTCGTTAAAAATTGATGGTAGTTTAAGTTGTACGTTAATCTACTGACTGTGTTGTGATATAATAATCGTTTGAGATTATATTCGATTTTTCTATACAGAGGAAATGTGATCAAAGTGTAGCATTGCATTTGTCACGGAAGATTACCTATGTGCCAGGGGAAGAATTGCCTTTTCAAACATGCTTCCATATGCCCCCATTAAAGAACAGCTATTTTGATATTCGAAGCATGAAGAATTTATTACCAGAAACAGAGGATTTACAGCTATTTTCAACACCACAAAATCATTAAATTAGAACCAGAAATTGAAAGGAAAAAAAAAGATGGATGAAAACAAAGAATATTAATAACTTATTCGACCCCCAAGCATCAAGTTGAGTTCAACTTGATCACGTAGAAGAAAACATAAAAGAATATGACAAAAGTTCCTTTTAGGCCCTCCGTTTACACTCGGGCGGAACACCCTGAGGGAAACGCTTCAAATCGGTGCAATAGTTGTAAATCATGAAGTATTTTTGAACCCATCTCAATCTCCGCCTCCCGGGGGCATCGAGCTCGGTCGTTTCCCAAGCACCGTCGGAGACCGAGTTCGTCTTGCCGCAAGACGAACCTGTCCCCGACCAAACACAAGCCTTGTTGGCATTGAAGTTCCGGTAGTATGCGGTGAAGGGTGCCTTCGTCCAATCGGTCTTCACCAACCCGCCCCTCGTGGCCCAATCGTCGGCGTTCCACAAGCTCGAGTAGATCCTCATGGGCTGGCTCTTGGGGAACGGCACTCCGATCGCCTCGGCGTTTTTGAACACTCGGATGGGAGTGTTGTCCACCAAGAATCTGACAAAACAGAACAACAACAAAGATTAATGTTATTATTAGTTGTGTTTTGTTTTAGACAAATTGGAAGACAATTGATGCTCTTACATGATGTGCTGTGGCTTCCAAATGATGGAATAGGTGTGGAAGTTCCTTGACGGGTCAAACCATAGATAAAATTGTTGTTCTCTGTTCCCTTTGCCTTGTGTGTACACATTTGTGTGCAATATGTAGGGGTCACCACTAAGATTCCCCAAGAATTCGAAGTCGATCTCATCGTGGGTTGGCCCTTGAGAAGACAACTGCAACCCAAAAAAAAAAGATTTACATATAGTAATATTCGAATTCATTCTCGAGTTCCAACAGTAATGTCAACTTACGTAGTAAGCCGTGACCGTGCCAGCGGAGTTGCCGGAGACGAGCTTGAGCTGCATGTCGATTCTCCCGAACAAATACTCTTTCTTGGACTGAAAACCAGACCCCGAAACCCTGTCCAAGGACAAGGACAAGAGCTTACCGCCGTTAAAAATCTTGCCCCTTCTGTCACCCCATGTCAGGTCGAAATCCTGGTAAAAGTCGCCACCGTAGGCGACGGATACCAAGGAGTTCATGACCAAACAAGCCATTAAAGACATCGAAACAACATTAGAACAAGAACCCATTTTTTCTTTCAAGTGGAAACCAAGGATGGGTGATAAAAAGAGAAAAGAGAGGATTTTTTTTTATGAATGTTGAGTTTTGTTGTTCAAAGAGATGGTATTTATATAGGCTAAGAGTAACGCGTGAGGCAATAACTAATGGGGAGCCGAGTTGAAGAGCTGGTGACAGCTGCTGAGCATGTACTAGAATAGAATCAAAGCTGGAAGTTTGGAAGCTTTTGTTTTGGGGCTATGGGAAGAAGGGTTTGATTTGGAATTTTGTGAGAGAAACTATGTACAATGATTTTTGTCCCCATGGAAATAAGCTAATGCTAGGGGTCCCCTTCACTATGATTTGCTTGCTTATTGGAGGTGGATCACAACTCGGATTCTCCATGGGTGAATCGGTGAACGGGATTAAGGATGGTCTTTGGACTCGAATTCGACGAGTTTGGATTTAATCTGACCTGATCGGATTATATTCTTTCGAAAAAATTATAGGTTCGGGTCAAATCGGATTGAAACTTTTTATCCTTGATCCATGGGTGTTGCATTTCAAACTCTTGGGGGTAAGTTTTGCCATTATTTTAAACCCTCAAAGCAATCAAAGTACCAACGAAATAAGTTGAGACGCAGAAGGATGAACCTTTAGATTATAATTATCACATCATTAAAGAATGTTGTTGAGAGGCCGAAGCACGGTTGAAACTTTTAATCCATGATTTGAATTTGATTCCTTTAAATGGTTGGGCAAATTATAGATTTAGTATCTAAACTATCCGTTTTGATTCGTTTTAGTATCTAAATTATCAATTTTAGTTCGTTTTAGTACTAACTTTTATTTTTTTAAAACCATACATAAAGTTTAATTTTTGTTTCATTTTAGTACCCACCGTTAAAAACTTTAGTTTTTTGTTTCGTTTTAGTACACTTGTTCAAAATTTAATATCAAGGTTTGAAAAATTAAAAGTTTAGGTACTAAAACGGACCAAAACTGATAGTTTAGGTACTAAACGCGTTAAGTTTTTAACGACATGTACTGAAATGAAATGAAAACTAAACGTTAGGTAAGCTTTTAGAAAAATTGAAAGTTTAGATACTAAAACAGACCAAAAATAGTAGTTTAGGTACTAAATGCGTAATTTACCCTAAATAGTTTAGTATGATTACAAGATAATATATATTTGTATTCTTTTTTCAATTATTGACAACACATACACATTCTATAGACGTATTTGCTCAAACCCAAAACTTCTAGAGTAAATAACATTCTTTTAAACCACTAAAATTGCTTGATGATTTCTCTATAATTTGATTTTTAAAATGTTGATGGTAAGTAAATGATTCAAAATCACAGGTAGCATTCTCTTAACAATGTAATGCAATAATCTATCTGTATTTTATGGGAAAAAGTAAAAGAAAATCAAATTAAAGGACAAAATATATATATTTTGTTTATACAATGGACCAGAAATTTGGGGACCTGTTTTGAAAAGTAAGAGAAAAGCTGTGTATCATCATCACATTGCTTTAATAGCAGAAGAGTGCAGCTTTAATTACTCTCACCAGCGCCAATATTCTGGTGATTACCTATTAAAAATAATTAAAATACTTTGAGGGCTTTAAGTATAAAATAAATGTTTAAATTATACATGTTTTCACGAATAAGTGTTTAAAGTATTTTTTTTATCTATCCAGATAATTAATGTTATAAAAGTTATCACTTTCGGTGCTCGGGACGTCAACGACGTTAATTTCTTCAGTAAAGTGACACGTGTCACAATATGATAATTTTAAAATTTTTATATAAAATTTTAAAAATAAAATTATATATATATATTAAAAATAAAATACATAAATTTTGAAATAAACTCAAAACTTTAAAAATATTCATTTAAACCCCTAAACCCACGTCGACCACTCCCTTTTTCATTGACAAAGCTCCACCCGACCTTACCTCACCCGACGATCAAAATCCTTATGAAATCGTGACCAATCGACGACCGATCGGTGATGAATCGATGTTTTATACCCCTCGAACCCTAGGTTGAAAATCGCGATCCCACACGATTCGTACGTCGGCAACAAATACGATAGCGTATGATTAGGAGGATGGCAAGGACTACGTCGGCGGCAGTGGTTGTGACCAGAAAGGGTTGCAGTGGCAAATTAAGGTTTGGATTTGGAGATTTTAGGGATTTGGGGGTTATTTTATAATTTAAGAGAAATTAGATTTTTATAAATATAATAATATTTTTAATATTTTTTCAAAAAAATAAATTTCAAAATCACTATATTGTGACACTGTCACTTAACGGGGGAAATTAATGTTGTTGACGATCCGAACACCTAAATGGGTAATGTTTGTAACTTTAGACACCTGGGTGGGTCGAAAAACACTTTAGGCACCTATTCGTGAAAATAGATATAGTTTGAGTACTTATTTTATAATTAAGCCTACTTTGAGCGTACTTAAATGATATAATGTAACTATATTATAATTCTAAGAATTATATTTACTCTCCGAACAAATAGTATCTTATTCCAAGTGCAATCTAACAATTCTTGTTTTAACTTAACATGTAGTATATGTGATTAAAATTAGGGTAAATTACACAAATGATCCTCCAACTTTAGGGTACTGCTTTATTATGTCTCTCGACTACTAAAAGTTAGAAAATGATCCTCAGTATAGAGTGATCCTTTATTGAGTCCCCAAATTGTTAAAAGTTACAAATTGAACACCCGACTATTCATTATGTTCCGAATTCGTCATTTTCCTTTAAAAATGGATGATATTATGAGTTGAACGCTAACATGTTGATTGTGATATGATAAAATTTGATATCAAAATTGTTGGAAATAGTAACTACAAAACAGAGTTGTTAGCACTGACTGGAAGTACAAATAAATAAAATAAATAGTAACAATAAAACCGTGTCATGGTGATCCACTGCCTTAGAAGCTAATTCAACCCGATGAGTGTAATCACAACAATGGTTGAATGCCCCTGATATTAACACGGTTATCCAAAAACATGTATACCCAAGAGATTGGAGTGGACAAAGGTGGTATTACTCTTCATCACTGATAATTTCAAAAGATGGAAAACTTTGAAGAAACGCTTGTAGAAAGAGAAGAAAACTTTGAGAGTAGAGAAGAAATGTTTGCTTGATGTTAAATTTTGAACGGGTACTAAAATAAGTTAACGCGTTTAGTACATAAACTATAAGTTTTGGCCTATTTTAATACCTAAATTTTCAAATTTTTTTTTCAAAACTTAATGTTAAATTTTGAACGAGTACTAAAATAAAACCAAAATAAAAGTTTTTAACGACATATACTAAAATTAAACAAAAATTAAACTTTAGATATGGTTTTGTAAAAATTGAAAGTTTGGTATTAAAATGGACTAAAATTGATAGTTAAGATACTAAACACATAATTTACTTTTTTTTGGCAAAAAATGGAAAAAGGGGAAGAATGTTTAGAGGACCTAATTTGGATGCATTGCGAGAGTTACTGTTCTCACCTAATTATTGGTGAACAAAAGTAAAGCATGAGATGGATAGCGACCTAATTTGGAATTTGAACATTTTTAAATTCATTTAGATTACTGTTTTGAACCCATTGAGTCACTTCCGTGGTCGGGGTGTAGAAACAATTAATTTGGTCACCGACCGAACTGAATTATAATTAATCAAATTAATTAAAAATTTTCTTTAATTGTTAACTGAATCGAATCGAATTAAACTTTCTCTTAAATATTAACCAAACAAATCAATTATTTCGGTCGGTTAAACGAATTAACCAAAAAAATTTATAATTTTTTAATTACATTAATTTGATTATAAAAAATAATAATTTGCGTTAAAATTTAATTAGATATTAATAATTTAATGAATTTAGTGTTGTTAAAAAATAATTGGGTCTTAATTCTTAATGAGTTTGAACTTAAAATATGGATTTAATATATAATATTTAATAATTTTAGTTAATTCGGTTAATTAATCGAATTCAATCCGAATTAACCGTTAATCGAATATTGAAAATATTAATCGTTCTCCGATCAAACTAATTTGGTGGTCGATCGGATTAACCGAACTTATTCATTTTAGTTGGTTAATTCGGTTAAAATTGAATAGTGAACAACCCTATTAGTGGTTAAAGGGAGTGTTTTTCTCTTTTAAATCCGAAGTTAGAGCAGTTATGTTTACAGGATGTGTACGTTACTATCTTGTATATGACTTTTGACCCATGTACTTTACTTAAATTCTCATCTTGGCTTTGTACTATTTGTTTTCCTCAATTTGAATCTTGTGAAATTGCATTTTGATCTCCCATCTAAAGTTTAGGATAAATTACAAATTTGGTAATTAAACTTTACTCTCTCTCCTATTTTACTCACTATACTTTAAATCTTTTCAATTTCCTCACTAAACTTAATATATTGGGTTTTTTAGTCACTCAGTTGTTTCCTCACTGACGACGTTATAAAAGAGCTTTAATATAGATGCAAAATAACGGCGTTTTGGTGAAGAATTTGTTTTTTTAAAACAATATTGTTTTTATTTATTTAACGATAGGATGACCCAAACAAACCCTATGTATTAAGTTCAGTGGGAAAATTGAAAACTTTTAAAGTTCAATGAGCAAAATAAGAGAAAGAGTAAAGTTTAGTAATGAAATTTGTTATTTACCCTAAAGTTTGTCCTCTTCAAATACTATAAAATTAGAATCAAAAGCAATGGTAAAATCATATTTTAACTCCTCAAAAAATTTATGAATCAATATGGCCATCAACAAAGATTTCATAGCTTCACCCTAACCAACAAGTTTTGTCGTACACATATTTATTAAATACTAGCAGATAAGTTCATTCAGTTTAAACAAAATGTACTTGACCATAATTTTGAACATAATTTTGCGATTTGAACGAGTACGAACCGAACATAAATAAATTCAAAAATAAATGAATTAGATATCCCAACCGAATAGGCAAAGCTTGACGGCATGAATGGCATTTGGTTGAAGGTCAGTGTTCAATTTAAATCAAACTAAAAGCAATAGCTTTGAACAGCTCATAGTTTGGCTCCTACTTGTCTCGTTATTTATCGCTCTTTCAATCTATCCGTTTTGGGACCATCCCATTCATATGATTAAATTTAAGGACCTTAAAAATTATTATTTTTATTCAAAAAGATGCATGCATTGTACCAATGTTTGATGTATTTGAATATTTGCACAAAACCACAACTAATGATTATCTCGAAAATAAACAAATATATATTTTTGAAATACAAATATCTTTGATTTAGTGGGAGTACGTCTTTTAAAATTATTTTTAATTTATTTTTATGAAATAATTTTCGAAATTTATAAATGCTTATTACAATAATGTTATTTCTAAAATTTAAATTTTTGTTCATTTTTTTGAAAGTGTAATGTACCTAACTAGGGATGGGCATGGGAGCTGAACCAGATAGGTTTCGACCCGACCTGACCTGATTGGGTCAGATTTTTTAAAGAAAAATTTTGGGTTCGGGTCAGGTTTTTTAAAGTTATGTTCGGGTCAGGTTCGAGATTAAGGTGAAAAGTACCAGACCCAATCTAAAAAATTATAATTTTACCTTATATTTAAAGTTTATGTACTAAAACAGATCAAAATTAATAGTTTAGGTACTAAATGCAAAATTTACTCTTTAACATAATATGTACTTCCCCATCTAATCACATGACTCCTCCAGCATTATTAACTACTTCGTTTATCCCTCTTAAATACCACACATGATTTGTTGTTACTAAGACATTTCACCTTTTTTATTTGACTAAATAAGACATTTCACCTTAAAAATCATACAATAATTCACTCTAATTTTATTTGTCATATAACTGTATTTTGTTTGGGTAAATTATATCCAATAATGCTTAATTATGAGAAATTTTAATCTGATAATCGATCTTTTAATTTTTTAAGTAAACCACTTAATTATTTAAATAATTTTAATCAAATCATCCGTCATTAACATTTAATTGAGGAGTTGATGTACCGGCTAACAAAATTTATAATTATAAATTTAATCATCATTACTTATACATTCTATTAAAAAATAGAAAAAATAGGAGATATTTTAATCTGACTATCGATCTTTTAAATTTTCCAACCAAAGCACTTAACTATTTAAATAATTTCAATCAAGCCATGCACCATTAACATTCGATAAAGGAGTTGACATGACGGTTAATAAAATTAGTATAATTATACATTTTGTCCTTATCACTACACATTCTATTAAAAAATTACGAGAGATTTTAATTTGACCATTGGTCTTTTAATTTTTTTTAAACCAGACCACTTAACTATTTAAATAATTTCAATCAAGCCATCTAGCATTAACATTTGATGGAGGAGTTGACGTGATAATTAACAAAATTAATATAATTATACATTTAGTCCTCATTACTTATACATTAGTATGATCCTGATAGTTGGCGTAGGAAAATCTGGGATCTAGCTTGTTTTAGGATTATCGTGTCCGTTGGTTCTTGACTTTGCTAGATTTCCTTGCTTCACTGGTGCTACTGTAGAGTGAAGCCGAGTGCTATCTGCTGGGAATTGGTTTTTGCTATAATCTCTGATGTATCCCTGTCTACTATGGTTGGTACTTCCAGTGCCCTTGGTTGCAGGTGAGCAGGCACTTTTTGGGGTCTGTATTCTTTGGCTCTATAGATGCATGGTTTTTTCGTTTGCGCCTTCTAGTTTGGCATCGCCTACTGCTCTTCTCTTTTCGTTAGTTTGGTTCCTGTTTGATCCGAATTTATGAGATGGACTTTAGGCCATTGTTGCAGTGAGTTTTGTGTTGCCTGTGGTTATGCCCCCATTTGTTTTATCGACTGTTTTTGGAGCTTTTAGATTGATTCCTTTGGTTGTTCCTCTGGTGGACTGTATTGGATGATCATGTTGGCTGTATTTTCGACATATTCATGGCACACTCGTTTCCCTCGGTTAAGATTAGGGAGGTTTTTAACATGGTTTATGTTTATGTCTTGTTTTGTATGTTTTTACTTCGATCATAATCAAACAAAACAACTCCTTTCAAGAAAAAATAATTTAATTTAATAAATTTAAGTTAAAACATGAGATACTTGCTCCAATCATACCCCCAATAATAGTAAATGTGCATGTATATGAGTAAAAATAGTAATTTTAATTATTTAAATATTAAAACATGTCATTTATCAGAATCAGATACATAAACACGGTAACCAAAGATCATGCTAGAAGCATTCGGTGATTTAGATATCATATGATCAAAATATAAAATTAGAATTTTTAAACAATTCAGACAGATAATCAAAATAGTACTATAACATCAATAGGAACACATCTCAATTGATCTGAGTAGTCTGAGACGGTCACCTACTCTCAGGTCTACCTATCACGGTCAACGGTAGTGCTAGATCCTATGAATCGGAATAACTGAAATCAGAATCCTAATAAAATAAGTAATAAACTTTAATCGAATAATTTACGGAAACCTACGAGTAGCTATCGAAGAACTCGGATTGCACAGATCTGCAGGGCGGGTAGTGTCGAACATAAATGACTCTCGGTCAGGGGTGTCTCGTGTACCTTCATAAAAATATAGCCTCAAATTAATTTCATTATTATATCTTGAATAAATAAATAGAAAACTAAATCTACTGAGCATTTATGGATTAACGGGCTTGATTTGGGTTTCTGGTCAGAATTTGACAAAACTGACCGCAAAATCGGACTCAGGTCGTCGAAAAACATCGAGAGAGAGGTTTTCAAAACAAGTCAACGCGTATCAACGGTCAAAGTCAACGACTCGGCGCGATGTGACTTGGCTCAGCTCATCTTGATCTGATTCAGTGTGGTTGGATCGGTTCAGTCCGATTCAAAAATCTGCCGATCTAGTTGGGCCGATTCAATTGGGTTTGGGCCAGACGAGTGTACGGGTCAAGTTAAATACGGTTACAGATCGAATCGGGTCAACGGGTCGGGTTGATCTACTTTAAAGCGGTCCACAAGGCGGTGGACGATCCCTACTCCCAGTGACGACGCATGGGGACGCATACGGCTACGATGGGTTTGATAAAATTTGATCTCATGACCGTTTGAGTTATATTTTGTAGATCGATTATCTGTTTACATTATGTTGTAGAACACATGAATAGTCGACTGATATTTTATAACTTTTAATAGATGTAGGGCTCAACAAAATAATGTCATATATTCATAGACCATTTTATTACTTTTAATAATCATCAAACAAACGGTTTCTTATAATTAAAAATTATATATGAATCCATATGTTAAGGATTTTGTTTATATCAAAGGTAAGTTGAGACAAGATTGAAATATATTTATTTTAAAGGATAATAAATATTTGATTTAAATATGTCAAGGTTATTGTATTATTTTAAATTTAGTGTTTATGTTTTATAATTTTAAATAAATAGATAATCATGCTGAATAAGCACGTCTAATACACAAGCCTTCATGGTGTACATACCAAAATCATTACAATTTTAAATAAAAAAGAAAAATTAGAGAATCAATTTCATTGAAATCTGAGTTTGACATAATTATTAAAAGATTTAATATTAAATTAGCAACTTTAATTCGTTTCAATTTGTTTATTCATGCATTTTACCCTAAATTTGTCCACTTCTACTAACTTATTATTAAAAGATTATTTTATTCTAATATTTGTTTAAATTTTTTAAATTCGAACAATTATATTTAAGGGATATACATACATTATCAATGATTAAATTTTAATATTTGAATCATTTTAATATATTTCGGTTAATATCAATTTCTACAGAACTTTACATGAAAATCATTAATTATGTTAAGGTTCAGCTATTACCTTCTGTTAAACTGCGGGAAAACTTGTCTATTTCATCGGACAACCTTCTGTTCCCTGAATCGGTGTCTGAACACGACCGAGAGACCATCAAATGAACGAGATACTCGCAAATTTCCGCCGGATCATCCGCCCAGGTGACGCTCCTCCGAGCATGCTTATCGCTGATCTGTTCTTTACCATTGTTGTACATTCGTTTTCTGCAAGCCTACAATACCAAAAATAACATAACTATAATGTTTTTATATCTATTTTACAAAGATTTTTCATTTTTCTTAAAATATTTAGGGTAAAGTATACAAATGATCTCCCAATTATAGGATATTGCTTTATTAAGTTATTCAACTATTAAAAGTTATAAAATAGTCATCCGACTATAAAGTAATGCTTTATTGAGTCCCTCGACTACTAAAAGTTATAAAATAATCACTCAACTACTAAATATGTTCCAAACTTATCATTTTCTATTAAAAATTAGCAATTGTCTAAGCTTGACATTAACATGACGATTGAGATATGATAATCGTTGAGATTTTGGGATTAATTTTTATCATATCATAATCAGTAAGTTAATGTTCAACTCATAATACCATCAATTTTTTTACGGAAAAAGACAACTTCGGAACATAATGAATAGTCGAGTGACCATTTTGTAACTTTTAGTAGTCAATGGACTTAATAAAATAATACCCTACAGTCAGGGAACCATTTGTGTATTTTACCCAAATATTTATTTATTATGATAACTCAAATTCGAAGATCATCCGATTATATGATAGTATTAACACAAAAGATCGAGTATACTCGTATCGAACACATAGTTTGGTTGATGAGCCTGTATAACATAGCTTTCTACATCTATGAGCATACTTTGTGCCATTGTGATAAGCTAAAGAAAAGAGAACAGAGAGCATAAAACAGTTGATGGTTTACCTGGAACACAATATTAAGGCTAGTTATATGCTCTGCCTTCAAGAATCCAGACTCGAGGAGAGCTCGAAACAAAAGCACCATCTCAGAGCTGACGTCGACGACTTTAAGGTTTTCGATTATAGAAGATAAGGAAAGGTCATCGAACACGATCCGCATCCACCCTGGAGTCTTCTCGAGCTTTAGCAATGCAACAGTTAGATGAACGGCAGGTTTGTGATGATTAATGAATGACTTTGATGCTAAGCATGGAACTGCCATGGACATAACCATTTCCTCCACAATTAGCCTATACCAGTTACTTCTCACAACTCCTGATTCCTGCATTTCCAGTTCCTTTTCCCACCCTAAAATTATTGATAAGCAGAGGCAACAGTTCATTGCCACCCGAATGTCGTCGTTAAATACCTGACCTTCTAATACAGTCGTTAAGGTCTTTAGGTAACCAATGTAGCACTGTGACACCACATGTTTCCCTTTTTTCTGATATGATATTCCAGAAAGAAACTCCAACAAGCAAGATGAAGCAACAAGCTTGACGATTGGAGACCCGAAATGGATCATCCTGCATAAATCATGGTGGTGAATGTTTATTGTAGAAACTGATTGTGTCATATCTGTTGACTCGAGGAACGTTTGCCGGTCTGCGACCTCCGGTAGAATAACACGGAAGCTGAAAAGTAAAGAAGTTGGTTTTCACGGCATGGATTTATAGAGAAGTAATATAAGAAGGTGCTTACCATCTTAAGGTGAAGTAGTATAACAAGAGCAAAAGTATTAGACTTTCCCCCGAGCTTGTTCCCTCATCATATTCTATTAGAGCAGGTCCCTTGGAAGTGACAACCTGGACCGTGCTGTTTATGATAGAGATCAAGGAAGCATTAAAAATTATGCTTTTGGTAGCCTCGATGAGTGCATGGCCAGAAGAATGATGCAAAATCAAGGAGAGAATTCCCACTAAAATTAAACCTTCATGATTCCAACCATACTTTCTAACTTCAGGAATTAAGCATTCTATCAACTACAAAGAAAGTAAAAGACCCATTAATTTCCCGAAACCGGAAGTACTCGTAAAAATGAAAGCTGACGCGGTACCTTTGTAGACAATGCAAGCCAAGGTTCTCCATCAGAAAGTGTTTCATGGTGCACTGTACTTAAGATATTGAATAGCAGAAGTAAGATGGCCACAAGTAACTCTGAGGAAGAAGAATGACCTGAATTATAATAAACTACCATTAGGATTGAATTGCCTATTCCATGCAAGCATAGTTGGTCTGAGGCAGCTGGAAAGATGTTAATGACTGCTGATATAAGATTTACTACAGTTATAATGTCTTGATTCTGGGCTCCTTCCTCGGCAAGCTCTACCAATAAACACACCAAAAGTTTTGCAGCATGGTTATCTCTAGTTGCAACTAAGTCCGCAATTACACTTAGATCTATAATGTGAGACTTATCCCTATGGATGAGTATTTGGTTTCTATCTGAGCAGTCTATTCTACAAAATTTTAGAAGTTGACTCGATAATGGCTTGCTGATTTTCTCCTGTTGAAACAACCATCTCACAGCTACCGGATGAATCGTTGCAGAATGCAAATCCCATTCACTTTGAGAGAGCATATGGAACAGGATCCTCTCAGCTTCCAGGCTGTGAGAAACTTGGTTGCTCAACTTAGAAAGACCTCTACATAGGCCATAAAGATTCAAAACTTGCATCATTGTCAAGGAATCAATGCTACCTGATAAGAAATCTCCACTGTTAACAAGAATATATTGCTCCAGAGAAGCTAAAACCGATCTCTCATCTGCAAGCCTGCGGAAGATATCAAGAGAGTTGGAATATAGGTGAAGAAATAAATGTTAAAATGCAACATGAATGAGATGAAGAAGACAGGCAGCTCATTTTTACCAGTCATCATGCAGGCAACTGAAATGCAAAAGCAGTAAAACTGCAGCTTGGCAAGAAGACAAATCTACATCACGGGAGTTTTTCTGCCCAAGCAGAAACAGCAAATCAATAGGATCAGATGGAAGAAAAAATGCAGCGTCCCTAATGTGCTGTCCAGATTGATTTCCCAAAAGAACTTCCACAAGTGAACTGAGCATTAGATAAACTCTCCATTTCATCATTTCAGCAGGAAATAGTCCTAGACATCCAAATGAAAAACTGAACCAAGAGGATGAAAGTAGGACTTTTGCTAGTTCTGTTGCTTGGATATCAGGATTTTGAACCAGTATAAAATGGAATGTCTCGAATACCCCCATGACAGTTTCCTCGTTAAGTTCATTAACAGCCATGGAAAACCAAGGTAATATATGTGAGGTACATATTTCCACAATACTAGTTCGCAGTTCAAAGTTGCTGGACTTGTTTGCAGAGCACTCTTCTTGACTGTATGAATATGCTTCTTTAAGAAGGTATAAAGAATGCAAGAGTCGACCAGGATCATTCTCAGAGACGGTCAGGCAAGCTAAAACAGCATGTTTCAATGCTTCTTGAAGTAATGATGGAAGATTTGAAGCCCCTTGAGAAGATGGGAATTTTAAAAGAACTACAAAGATGGAACAAACCAATACGAATGTCTCTGGAATCATGCCAATTTCCCCATCTCTATGCCTTTCAAACATCCTTGACAAAATAAGAGCCAATTCATCAATGTTAGAAGTTGATGCTATTCCAGGGCAATCAGAAACACAATTTTGTATAAGCATAAGTGTGAAAGCTTGAGCAGGATGGAAAGGAACTTCAGACACATAACGAAGCACCGGAATTAGAGTTGGAAAACCAATAATAAGTCTTTGTCTGAAAGACTGTTCCATGCATGGAAAGAGATTAAGAACTCTAACACAAGAGTAGACCAGTGGATCCTTGCATTCTGTTTAGCAAAAATAGAACTTCTTCAATGCAAAAGCCTCGCAGCATGGTATAATTATCACACATGGATATAGATATGCAAGCATACATTTTATGTCTGTACAAACATAAGCACCATGCTCACATAATATATTCCATGACGAGCACACATGAATTGTGTCAACCGATAATAATAGAATTTGAAAAAGAAAATGCTTTCATCACTAATTTGATTATTGAATTTTCTTAAAACAGAATGCTTGAAAAATTCAAACTAAACTACTATGTTATTTTGTTTGAAGTACTTATGAAAGCAGTATTTTGGGTACTTTGACTCACTGAGGTAACTTGAATGTCATTCACCTGTTCCAATTTATATCACTTACCTGATAATCTTAATATCTCAAACACATAATCCACAATATTTTCTTCTACCAAAATTTGAATCTGTCTGGGGGAAGCATCTCCACATGACAAGTAGTGGAATATCAGATCTAATGTGCTGATTTGGACTTGGCTGTCTGATGAAAGCAGTGGGCCTTTGATAGCCTCGGCAAACAATATACTCAATGGGGATTCATCTAGTCCTTCTTCAGTCGTTTGCATGAAGTGGTCTGCTTCATCAGAACTCAAACTGCTTATTTCATTTCCAAGTCCATTTCCAAACAATCCAATCTGTGCCAAGAGCATCAGAAAAGCTGAAAAGGTACAATTAGAAATTGTTAGTTTGAGAGAATATATTATAATTATCATGACGCACTGCAGCTGCATTGGTGGAGGTGGCCTTACAGTGCGAGATGAGTACATTTCCTAATAAAGACCCTAATGAAGACCATGTTATGAACAACAGCGAGTTTAACCAAACAATTCGAATGATATTAACTAGCTACATGATAGACCTGACTACAGTTTATATTGGCACTAAACTTCGAAAATTTTAAACAAATCGCTGCAGAAAATAATTTGACAAACCTATTCCATTTAATCGTACATCATCTCTTTGGGTTTTCAGAAGGGCCTCCATTGACAAACGCAATAAACTGGGACAAAAAGCATGAAGAACATTTGCTCCTACACAATCTTTAGATGCATATCCTTGAGCAGATAGTTTATACAGAACAAAAGAATCTCTCCTCGGATTCATCACTGCAGTAGGAAACAACTAATTAACAACCCAAATTAATTACAAACACTTTGTATCCAGTAACTTTTATTCGCTACCTTGGCAATTGAAGACCTGCCACTAAATTGGATACTAGAGCATCTTTGTCTCTGATGTGCATACAAGGATCATTTATTTGACGGTTCAGGAGAACTCCCAGACAATGAAGCTGAAATTTAAGATAACCAGACATAGCAATTGATCAGTTGTCTAACTTTTTGAAAATAGCAATTAAGAGAAAAGTTACACCTCATATGTTATTCCGACTATTAATTTTCGTTAGAGCATTCGGAGCTGGCACATATTTGGATATGGATTGAGGATATGACCCTTCGAAGATCCTCCAAGTATATGAAAAAAAAATGAAGATGCATGTGTCTGACGCATACTCATATCGGACAATTACAGCGGAGTCCGAGTGATGTAGCCTTAAATTTTGCTTTATTATCTTTCACTTCCTCAGATCATGCACAAGATTAGGCACAAATAACGCTTAATATTCATACACAAAAAGAAGCCTGACACGTCACATTCTAGTTCAATTTTTATTATCCTTACTAATTCAACATAATCAAAGCTTAAAATTGTTATTTGCGTGGTTTGAGTTTGGCTGCTGAGAAAATGAGTAACAAAAACAAGGATAAAATATTGGAAAAGCAGCAAATAAGATCATGAAATAACTTTTTCTTCTCTTCCCTAAATTTTCTCAGCAACCAAACACAAAACATGCAAAAAACAATTTCAGCCTCTCACCGTATTAAACCACAGGAAAGAACAAGAAAAACTCTAGCTATGCTTTCGTATGCCTCTTCCTTCTGAGCATTCAAACAGATCCACAACAGAAATAACAATCAAAACATAAACTCACCATATAAAGCTGCCTTCGACTCCACGCCAACGCGCCAGAAGAGAGTTTACCGGAAACTTGAGCAATGAAATCGGCGGTGACGGAGTCATTAGCAGAAGCGCAAAGAGCGGAGATTATATCAATGAGTTGTTGAGCGATCGGATCGTCGTCGAAGGAAGAAAGCGCGTGGAGGAGGGGAGATGAAGTGAGGGTGGAAGGAAAGGAGGGAGTTGAGAAAAGGAGCTTCAGAAAGGGCGAGGGAGAGTTGAGAGAGAGCGTAGGAAACATGGAGAGTGGGAGCGCGTGGGTTGGAGATGAGGTTGGAGAAGCAGAGGAGGCAGATAGAGCCGCCTTGTTGGGCGGAGGGATAGGTGGTACGGTGGCCTTGCGAGCATTGAATAACGTCCGGTTCTTGATCGGGGTATTGATCGACGGCGAACGAGACGCCCGGCTCTTGCGAATCTTCAAACATCATTTTTCCCGAAAAGAGAGAGCGGCACTGATGATTTGAATTTTAGCGGGAGTTTTATATTGGTTTAACGGCGTGTGAAGCGGTTAAGCCCTTACCTTTTCTTGGATAAACTATCTATTTGATCCCCACTTATTCTCATATTTCTATTGTGATCACAAAACGTTTTTTAGAATTGTCCATAACATTACGTTTTGCTTCTGCTTTGGTCACTAGCTGTTAGGTTTGATCATTGAGTTAACGAAAGACTTAAATATAAAATAAGTGTCCAAACTATACCATTTTTCACAAATATATACCTTAAGTATTTTTTACTTATCTTAGTGTCTAACGTTACAAACGTTACCATTTTAGGTGTATGGACCGTCAACTGCTTTAATTTTTTTGTTAAGTGACACATGTCACAATTTACTGATTTTGAAATTCAATTTTTTAAAATTAAAAATATTATTATACTTATAAAAATAAAATAAAATTTTCTCTTAAATTATAAAAAAACTCAAAATCCCTAAAATCCCCAAATTCTACCATTAACTTATTGTCCTTTTTGGCCACTACCATTGTTGTTGACGTAGTCTTTACCATCTTCCTTACATATGACGTTGTACTTGTCACCGATTGACCGTCAGAATCGCATGGGATAGAGATTTTCATCCTAGGTTTTATGGGGTATAAAAGATCGATCGGCCATCGATCGGTCACGATTTCATATGGGTTTTGGTCGCCATTGGGAGGTGAGGTCGGGTGGAACTTCGTCGATGGCCAGTGTGGGTTTAGGGGTTGAAATGAAAGTTTTCAAAGTTCTAGGGTTATAGCAAAAATTTTATGTTTTTCTTTTAAAAATATATATGTTAACTTTTTAATTTTAAATACTTTTTTTTTAAATTATCAAATTGTGACACATGTCACTTAATAGGGAAATTAACACCGTTAACAGTTGAGCACTTAAAGTGATAACGTTTATAACTTTAGGTACTAGGATGAGTTAGAAAATACTTTAGGCACTGGGATGAGTTAGAAAATACTTTAGGCACTGGGATAAGTCAGAAAATACTTTAGACACCTATTCATGAAAAACAATATAATTTGGGACCATATTTTGTATTTAAGTGTCAACACACCTTTTCATCCTACTAGAATTCAAACTCCTAAAAATATGATAGAATTTTGCTAGGATTCAAAAAATAAGATAGAGTTCTACTATGATTTAAACTTCTAAAGATAGGATCCACAAACACTATAAATAGCCATTGTAACTCACTATTGTAAGACACGATTGATACACAAAACATAGAGGAAAGCACGGGAAGATACAAAGGCAAAGCTATTGTAAAAGATTCGAAAAAGAAATAAAAGGTAGCATTTTCTTTTTTCTTTCTTTTGCATGTGCACGTTATTTTTTTTAGATTTGGTTCGAATAACCCAAAACGTGGGTTGCGCCGATGACCAAAATGGGTGGGGTTTCGAAGTTTCGAACCTAGATCTACCCCGAGGCTTATTTTTAAAAACCGGTTTGATTTTCGGTTAAAGGAGGGAAAGAGCTTTTTAAAAATCTATATTAGTCCCTTTATTTATTATATGGATATTTTATTCATTTATTTTTATTATTCATGTTATTATTATTATATGTATATATATATTAAATTATTTTCATTTGATTTTTTACTATATTTTATTATTATTATTATATATATATTTCTTTAATATTTTACTTATAAGTCTAATGTTACTATATATATATTAAATTATCTTTATCTAGTCGTATATATTTTTTATACTTTTAATAGTTTATTTATATACATATTATTAAATATATATATATTCTTAATTATTTTTATTTGATTATTTCTTTATTTATGTAATATATCTTATAACTTTATATATTTATATTATTTTTTATTATTTTCGTTTTTTTATTCATTATTATTATATTATTATTTTTTTTAAAAAACCTTGTGTCTTTATCATTATCATTATTAAACATTATATTATATACTACTAACCTAGAGGGCCCATTTTTTTGTCTTATTTCTTACTAGAGCCCCCCATTTTCGGTGAATTGGGAGGGTAGCTTTTCTATTTTTAAGTATTTGGTGTACATATATAGCTTATTTATTTTATTAATACTTTGATATATATATATATATTTATATTTTTTCCTTTTTTCAAATATTACTATATATAATTATTACTTTACTATTTTTTCTTATCTTACTTACTTATTTTATTTATTTTATTTTTCCCTTGTATCTTATTTGTTTTCTTTACCTTGTTTATCTAACACATTTCTCGATTTTTTTTCAAATCAATCAAGGGTAAGTAATTAGGATCGAAACTTTACCTTTTAATTTAACTTGTTATTTTTCTTAATTAAGACAACTGGAAATTACGTAGTACCGAAAGGGCGGTTTAAGGGTGCTAATCCTTCCTTGACCGTAACCGACTCCCGAACCCGACATATTTCTGGTAAGACGCAGATCAGGTAAGAAATAGGGTATCCGATCAACCCATTTATTTTTAAATAAATGATCGGTGGCGACTCCAATCCACATTTTTCAAGTCGAAGCCCAATTTCGGGGCCCAACCGAAAGACGTTTGCGACATTAAGCCTTAACGAAAATAGTGGTGTGAAATAGTATGATAATATTTTTAGTCTTTAAGCTTACGCATTATTTCAAATTGCTTCTAATTCAAAATAATTTAGGGTAAACAACGCAAATGAACCCTCAATTATAGGGTATTATTATATTAAGCCTCTCGACTATTAAAAGTTATAATATGATCCTTTAACTATAGAGTGTTGCTTTATTGAGTCTCTCGACTATTAAAAGTAACAAAATGATCATATGACTATTCATTATATTTCAAACTCGTCATTTTCCGTTGAAATAGACAATATTCTGAGTGGAACATTAATTTGTTGACTGTGATATGATAAAATTTGATCCCAAAATCTTAAACGACCATCATATCTCAGTTATCATATTAACGTCCAATTTAAAAAAATTGCTAATTTAACGAAAAAAGATGAGTTTGGTACATAACGAACAGTCGAGTTATCATTTTGTAACTTTTAATAGTCGATGGACTCAACAAAACAACACTCCATAATTAAAAGACTATTTTATAATTTTTAATAGTCGATGGATTTAATAAAATAATATTCTATAGTCGAATGATCATTTGCGTTCTTTACTCTATAATTTAATAAATCTTCAATATTTAAAAATCTTATCAATTTGGTGCATAAAATCCCGAAACCCCTCTCCCAAATCCTATCAATTTCTTCAATATTTAAGAAATTGGTTCAATTTCTTCGAAAATATAATTGATTTAATTTATCAGTTTAAATTTTTTTTTTCTCTTTTTGTATAAATATAAGTGAAACTTTCTAAATAAATAAAATTAAATTAAAAAAAGAATGGGATAGAACAAGCATATGATCATATATATAACTTGGGATTGCTTTGAATTACAACTCTTAACCCTTATGAACTGAAACTCAAATTACAACACAGGCTGCGATCAGGATCCTAGAACTTATATTCCTTCACATATGTTCCTAATTGGTCCCCGATCCGATGGCATTCGTCGTTTCCGTGCCGACGCCTTCACGGAACTCGTCCGATGAATGGTGCTATCCTTACTTTTCAAGTGTTGTTGTGGGGTACCCGGCCTCTCATTCGTAGAACTGATGGGAAGGAAAAGGACCAAATGGAATGGAGGAGGTAAGACAGGATAAGAACTCGCGCTGGCGGGAATTCCGGTACCGAATTGCTACGTCTTTCAACTGTTTTCTACGGTCAAGATTGCACGGCCAACTTCTGGAGGTGCTCAAAGAAGATTTGTAGGCTTACGTCGTCGGTGAAGATTACGTCTGATCCGGTAGCCATGTCGATGGGATTACAGTATGTTGCTGATGGGTTCAACTTTGCTAACAAAAACCTTGCCTGCACAAGGAACCAAAATGAGCCCTTAAAAGAAGCAATCTAGGACTGATGAATTGGCTATGGTAAGTATCGGAAAACCGGACAGGGAGGGACGGTTTTCGACTTGGTAGACGACGTGCGGAAGGCCATGCATGGACCCCCAAAATGGCAATACCGCCATCATGGCCCTATGTTTTCGGGGACCCGATTTGAGGGATTCAACAAGGCTCAACTCAGCCGAACCATGAAACTTTAAGTGCTGACAGACTGCAATTGTTACATTATGAACATGGTTCTGATCACGAAATGTACCACCTGGGATCCATGCTGATCACATACAACCAATCTAGGGACGGGGAAGCGTTCCTGAATAATCATTTCGGCGTCTACGTGTGGTGCTTGCAAAAGCTGTGCAAATGCCTGTCAAAAGAAATAAGCTTTACACATCAAAACCATAAACTGAGAACCTAGAAATCAGTTGCAAATTGCAGCTTAAGAACATTCTAAACTACTGATATATGATTGCGACCGGAGCCGAACATATGTTCAGACTTGAGCTAAACGAATCACTGAAACCAAAATAACAAATACATAACATACTTCCAGGCTTAAAGAAACAACAAAACCGTGCTACTACGGCTTCAGCATACCTGATGTTCCGGCTGATTCTGGTAACACATGTTGCAGTTACCTGTATAAACTGTGAGCGCCGCAAGTTAAACATGAATTGAGGAAACAAAGAGAAAGAAGAGTTTAATGTAAAAGATGATGGATCATCCTTCCTATATTCTCCGAATTTCGAACAAAGTCGAATGAGATTGCGATCTAACCACCGTGTAGCATCAAACCCCTTCTAAATGGAAAAAAAGTGATAGTTACCTAAAGAAACTATAGATCGAAAGTGGACTCGAGAAAGAAATATAACAACTGGTGCATAACGGAATAGAAGTTTAAATTACCTCCATCTCCATCTTCAGAGAAGTTATTCTCGCCATTACGACAGCTGCCGTCTCTTGATCAAAACCCTTTACTAATTCCTATATAGGACACATTATTCGCAGTTAGAATAGATTAACC